ATAGATGTCTGACATTAACCAATTTTCTCTGTTACTACATGTAGTGCATTCACTCACATAATTGTCAGTATTGTATCAATGGCAAAAAGTAATACTGTAAAACATGGCTTTTTAGCTAGCACGTTATTTTAGCTAAGTATGATACAAATGTCATTGAACTGACTGGTTGACTCGTGAGATTATTTTTTTTGTTTCCAGGGTAACTTGAGGTCCTGGTTGCTTGATACTGATTGCAATGATCAGTATAGTGTTATATACGATGGTGGAGAAAGAACGACTATATTTATGAATACTGGAACCGATCAAGTTGCCGTTGAGGAGAGAGCTGTAAGTTGACATCATATTTGTGACTATGATGTTGCTGATCTCTTCACTATATAAGTTAATTGACAGTGACTTTTTTTTTATTTCTGTAGCGCTGGACAGAGACGTACGTTAGATGGTCCCCAAAGGGAACATACCTTGCTACCTTTCATCAGCGTGGTATTGCATTATGGGGCGGAGAAAATTTTGTTCAAATCATGCGTTTCAGCCATCCTGGTGTCCAGCTTATTGATTTCTCTCCTTGTGAAAGGTATTTGTTTGTCTTTACTTTTATTTCCCAGGATATAAAACACTGGCTACTATAGATTATGACTGGGTTGTGATATAAAAATAAAGTGGAAATTCCACTAATTACCTGACATCTCTGTTCATTTGGCTAGTACTGCCTCCCACTAGTGTCTTAGATTTACTTGTCATAGTAAATTTAAATGTTATTATTCACAATTTCACCTTCATTGTAGATACATGGTAACATTCAGTCCCCTAGTAGACAAAAAAGAAGATCCACAGGCTATTATCATATGGGATATACGTACTGGTGCCAAGCGAAGAGGTTTTCACTGTGAAAATGCAGCACAGTGGCCAATTTTCAAGTAAGATTATGCTCTATGTTGGGATTTCAAATGTACATTTAAATTCTTTAGGTCAAGATCTACTATGGATAAAAGCTGTGAATCGTCCAAAGGGGCACTGTGACCCACTCATTCTGAGAAACTCTGGGAAATTTGTTTCTTGTGTCAGTCAGTTTGTAGTGGGAAAATAAGCATTCTAACCATAAAGGTACTACCCATTTTTACAATCTTGTTCTTTTTGTTCAGTGTTGATATTTTTCATTTTTTATTTATAGATGGAGTCACGACGGCAAATACTTCACCAGAATGGCAATAGATAGTCTTAGTGTGTATGAAGTTCCCGTAAGTAAAGATACACACTTGTCGCTTTGACGTAAATAGTTCACCAGAAGATGGGTGTCCTAAGTTTTGTGGTAATAGTGATTCGGTTCACTTGGGATACCCTGGACTATCTAAACTTCTCTCTTTTTTTCTCTCTCACATTTAATGCTTTTGAATTGAAAAGATTGGTCACAGTGAAGTCTTAAAATATAATAATCCCCAAAATCTCAATAAATCCACATGAATAATTTCAACTTCAAATTTTAAAGTATATATTTGGTAGAAATATTAAATTATGGTAGAAATATTATTAAATACTTTATTTTTTTCCAAAACAACATTGTAGTAAGTTGCACAGACTAATAATGAGTAATACATGCAAATGCCCTTTTTTACTGGATTGTATCCTACCTTCTTTTCAGTCTTTTGGACTTCTTGACAAGAAAAGTATTAAGATTGAAGACATTAGGTAAGTATTTATAATATCATTCATTTGTCATAAAAAGCGAGCAAGAATTTAATACTTTGTAAAGCTATGTCTATGTGATTTGATCTCTAAATTGTGATCTTTGGGGGCTTTATCTATGAATTCATATGCCCTATTTGTACAATGTGCTTGTGTTAGCACTCTCCATTAGCCATGTTAGCATATGCTAACTGAAATAATTTGAAGTGGCTAATGTGATTTATATTAGCCACAATAACTACTTAAAATCTGTATTAGAAGCCGCGACTTCTATTAAAATGGTACAATGCAATAGAGAGAGTTCTAATTTTACAGTACTTAAAATCTGAAATTACAATACCATGCAATTCTATGGCACTTTTGGGACAATAATATCCACCATAAAGCAGAATACCTATATAATGAGGCATTTTTTCATGCATAATAAATTCCAGTATTACAACTTATATGTGGCTAACATAACATCCTATTTGCCACAGTGGCTAATGATTGTCATGATCCAGCACTAACAGTGTATGCAGTATGATCTACAGTATTTGCTCTAATTGTAGCACATGCACCTATGTAAATTACAGTGTTACTATGTTGAAAATAAGGAATATTTTATGATTCAGCATAATAAAATTTATGCTTTATACGCACACTTTTAATAGAACCAATTTGGTTGCTGTATACTTGCTGTTGAAAAATTCAAAATGCTAGCAGGGTAAAAAAAGATTTTTTGTTTCATTTAGGGATTTTTCTTGGTCTCCAAGTGATTACATGTTAGCTTATTGGACCCCAGAAAACAGTGATATACCAGCAAGAGTGACATTGTTAGAAATACCTTCACGTAAAGAAGTCCGGGTGAAAAATCTGTTTAATGTAGCTGAATGTAAAATGCACTGGCAGAACAAGGGTGATTTACTCTGTGTTAAAGTGGATAGATACACCAAGAGTAAAAAGGTAGGTCAAAGGTTGAATCTTCATCAGAACCTTCAAGAAAAATATGTTTTGTGTGAGACTATATACATTTTGCTGAGACTTACGGTATTCTAAAAATTTATTTTTGTGGCAGAAACTCCTGTGAATTTGAACTCAAGCAAAAAATAGTTCAACATTTCTAGACTGGTATTCTTAGATTTTCGCAGATTTGGAAATGTTCTTAGAATTCTGATTATGATTTATGAAGTTCATTGAGTTCTGTATTTAAAGCTTTGTATTCAGTGTATGTAATAATTATGCCAATTATTCAGTATATTTCAAATTATATCATAACAAGTCGCCAATATTCAAGGACTTGTTTTCGGAGTTGTGTATAACATTTTCTATTAGAAAAATTGATGTCTTTTCTTGAATATGGCCATGGCATGTACATTTCCTAAATGGTAACTAAGCTCAGTGTGTATGATCAGAGAATGTTGTGGCAAGAGCAGAAAGTTTACTTGTCAGTATGAATCAGTACAGTCTGGCCTGCCTTCCTAATATGTGAGACTATGTATGAAAGGCTGGGCAGCATCTGTGCATTAGTTACTAATTTATACAAAAAAACAATGTCAGAAGAGATAACTGTGACTTCATTGTCCTGAAATGTCGCCTGGCTCAAAAACGTGTTAACAAATTTGTAAATATCAGTCTTCCTTCCTCACCAGGTCCAGTTCTGTAATTTTGAGATTTTCCGCATTAGGGAAAAACAGATTCCAGTTGAACAGGTGGAGATTAAGGAGAGCATCATGGCATTTGCGTGGGAACCTGGCGGTACCAAATTTGCTATTCTACATGGAGAAAACCCCAGAATATCTGCCAGTTTCTACCTAGTCACTAAAGGAAAAGTGGAACTACAAAGTGAGTAGTGACAACTGTTAAATAAAAAATTGAGGAGAAAAGTCAGAAAGTATGCACTCAGACTTCACTCGGTCATAATTGTAGTAATATCTTATTGTGGAAGTCTCTCATTCCTATATTATATGCCTTTGTTTCAATTTAAATGTATGGTAAAATGATAGCGTAGTATTTTACCTAATGGATGTAGGTACATGTACCATACAATCTTTTGTTCACTGACTCAAACATAAAAAACATGAAATCCGCCATTCTGCATTTGCTTTAAAACTTTAAACATCTAACTGTATCTTCTCCTCTTGTTTGCAGAGGTTATGGACAAAAAGGTTGCTAATCATATTTTCTGGTCTCCAAATGGTCAATTTATTGTCCTTGCAGGCCTTAGAAGGTAATAATTAATCCATAGTCATATGGTGTTTTCTGTGCAACTTTTAACACCGTACATTTACTATGCATTCTGTTTCTGAGAAGCTATCAAAACGATAATCTGTTTGATGTTATCTCATTTCTATCAGAAGTGAAACAAACACCACGTTTTTCAAAAAATGCAAACTTTATTTATTTCACAATACTGACAAAACAAATTAACCTAGGTTAAAAGATTATTTCCTTGGTTACCATTTATGGTAACACCCTGCTGTTCATCATATCCACCCCTATGAATTAATGGTTGAGTCCTGTACTTTCTTGCAGCATGAGTGGTGCATTGGAATTCATTGATACCTCAGACTACACTCTTATGAATAGTGCTGAGCATTTCATGGCAACTGATCTGAAATGGGATCCAACTGGACGTTATGTAGTGTCTGGAGTCAGGTGGTGGGGACATAAGGTAAGACATTGTCATGGCAACTGATCTGAAATGGGATCCAACTGGACGTTATGTAGTGTCTGGAGTCAGGTGGTGGGGACATAAGGTAAGACATTATCATGGCAACCAATGTAGAGTATGAACCTTCTAAAATGAGTTGTTGGTAGTTTGATTTGGAAGCTTACTTTTGTTGTGTATAACACTGGAAGAAGATGGGAATTATTCAGTTTCCTTGTCTCAAACTGTTTCATTTCCTTTCAAGGTTGATAATGCTTATTGGGTTTGGAGTTTCCAAGGAAGACTTCTACACAAGCAAACTCTAGATAGATTCTGTCAGTTGTTATGGCGACCACGTCCTCCCACTCTTCTGAGTCAGAATAAACTAAGGGTAAGTTTCACAGTATATAATGGTTTATCTTCCACTGTATCATTCTAAGTCTACTAATATTGAGAAAGTTACTTCACGATGTGGTAAATCAAATGGAAAATCATTCAGTTTATTACTTAACATCAAATGCTATGGAATTTGTTTTTCTTATTTTACAGGAAATCAAAAAGAACATGAAGTCTTATAACAAGCAGTTCGAGTTGAAAGATAGAATGAGTCAATCCAAGGCTTCTAAGGTAACCAACTAGTAAATTCTATGACACCACACTGGATTCTATATATTTATCTGTTCTAACAATGAGTTTACTTGACTAGAGCACTTCCTATCCTTCCTGCTAACGCCCCAAATCTATCTTTATTAGCTCCGCTGTCGACTTTGTCGAGCGGAGCTTATCATATGAGTGATTGTCCGTCGTCGTCGTCCGTGTCAATGTTTTACTTTTTCGACTTCTTCTTGAAAACTACAAGCCTGAATGCTTTGATACTTGGTGTATATGTACCTTGGGTAGACCTCTCTTAGGTTTGTTCATTTCATGTTGATATCTTCAATTCTCTAATTTTGGTGAATATTTTTGTCATTTTTGGTAAAAAGTGATATTTTCGATTTCTTGTTAAAAACCACAAGTCCGATTGCTTTGATATTACATATATAGGTACTACATGTGGACCTCTCTCAGATTTGTTCATTTTGTGATGATGTCTTCAATTCTCTAATTTTGGTGAATATTTTTGTAATTTTTGGTAAAAAGTGATATTTTCGACTTCTTGTTAAAAACCAATAGTTCAATTGCTTTGATATTACATATTTAGATACTACATGTAGACCTTTCTCAGATTTGTTCATTTCGTGATGGTATCTTCGATTCTATAATTTTGGTGAATATTTTTGTCATTTTTGGTAAAAAGTGATATTTTCGACTTCTTGTAAAA